AWYCYWRKTWAAWYMWTTTTTTTATTTTATTCTTTTCAAAATTTTCACATTTTTTCTTCTTGCTATAAATTATATTTTTACAACTAATTACTCTCTGCAATATTTCTGTTTTTTTTGCTTAAAGGTATATTGTACCCTGTATAACCACATTTAAATCTGATTCGTTTTAATTTTTTTCCTTCATACAGAGAATTCAGGAATGTAATATGTRACCAACAAGACTATTATACTATAACATTCTTTTACTTACTCCTGAGAAGGATGTTTATTATCAGGAGTTACTCATTTCATTAAGTAATGGCTACAATTTGTGTTTTGCTAAAATTTAATGTTATATATAGGTATTTTAAGCATTAAGGGTTTCTAATTTAGAACAGATTAATCTACTTCTGGCTTTGTTGAGTTTTATGGTGAGATAATCTATTTACTTAAATCTTTCTTCTTCTGGTAACAGCTTCATTAATTGGCCAGACAAATGTTTATACAGTACATACTAAAACCATGAATTTCCTTCCTAAATCGTTGCAGACAAGAATTGAACCCATGTAGAGCTGAACTGACTATTCTAGGAAGGATTATAGAAAACAGCATATCTATTGATGACATGCCTGGAAAACCACTGTCAAAATCATGGTCTGTCTTTATTGGTGGATTACCAGATCTTCATGCAAAAACAAAGGTAATTTCATGGATGTTATAAAAATATTAATTATGTTATTGTTTTGAAGACAGAAAAAGGAAAACTTTAAAAATGTTTTATGATTAGTGGAGTCATCTATATGATTTTCAAAAAGAAATTTTGAGCAATTATATATATATATGTATATATTTTATATATACTTGGAATATATATAAATATATCTTATCATAAAATAAATATATATCTTTTTTTCTTATCATTCCAAGTAGACTAAAAGCTTAATGTCCTTAATGAATAGAATTGTTCCAGTATCGGACTGTTTTTCCATCTTATGTCTGTAGTCTGTGTAATATCAAGTGTGTGGGTTTTTGTGCACTACTAACTCAATAATTTTCATTGGATATGTTAATGTGCTTGCTGAAAAATAAGCCAAAAATATGACTTGAGAAATGGGCTTAGTAATGTTTAAGGACTTTCTCTATAGTACTTTGTGTCCATGCCAGCCCACTCTGTAAATTTCCATTTGGATAATTAGCTTATTTTCTTTATTATTAAGTTATATTCTAGGATAAAAGCTTGCATGTTGACTTAAATGCTATTGATTATGTGGCTCCATTTTATGCTATTGCAGAGAATTGCCCTAAAAAWTTTAAGATTGCTAAATGTACCAATAGCTTATTACAATYATGAACTTTTTCTCTTACTAATATTTACCATTGCATTTTACATACTAGAACATACTATCTTTATGTTAGAAATTTAAAATGTTCTTAAAGTACCACAAGTAATACAAATTGATATAAGTCTACTTAACTATCATTATGATTTCTGGTATACATGAGGTAAACATTTTAAAATCAAATAGACACGAAAAACAAATTTTTCTTGTATATTTCATTTGACCCACAAACATTTAATAAAATTAGGACACTGTATCAGTAAGAATGAAGAGACTATTTTAGATTTAGATTTACTCCATTAGCAGTGCATTTATTGATCATTAAACAGRCTTTGTGACTTTTTCTATAATATTAATGTATTTTATTGATTTTTGTCTGGATAAACAAATCTATAAGTCCCATAAGAGTAGAAAATGTCTGTTTTGCTTATACCAAGATAAGAAAAGTTTCTGTGACATAGTTAAAGTTTCATTTATATTCTAAGTGAAATATCCATTAAAGAATGGTAAAGAKATTCTAAAATATACATAAATTAACCTTTAGCTATTTAAATTTGGATTGATTTCTTATCTTGATATTATGTATATATTTCCCAAGTAAAAAATACGTTTTCATATAGACTCTTATCATTGTAAGTATACAGTAATTAAATGCAAGTACTAAAGATTCAAGGGGGCTAATATTCTATTGGGAAGATACACAACTATTACTAATATAGTTAAGTATCTAGTCTTTTATAAATATGAATAATATAAAAAAGTAATATAGGAAAATATGTAAGAAAGTCTACTAGCCTCCCTGGGGAAGTCAGAAAGTTTGTAATTAGGTASAAATTTGAGAGAAGATCAATTCTTCCCAGCAAATAATGTGCAGGCTTGTCATTCTGGATAGAGGCAAGATCACACACTGGGCCATAATTAGTGGAGAGGTAGGTGGGGAGAAGAGGGAGAAAATAAATAAGAACTGAGCAGAAGAAGGACTTTTAAAGACAAGGTGAGTAGGAGTCAGAGCACAATTAATTCTATACAGAGTGCAAAATAGTATAGATTTATTTATATRCTAGTACCTAGGAAACCATTTAAGAAGTTTTAATTGGAAGTGACATGCTGTTTTCACATAAGAAGAGTAGAACTATAGTGGTTTAGAACTGTTAAATTTGGGTTACAGCAATAATAAAACAAGAAATGATATTATGGCAATAGAGATGAGAAAATAACTCTGAAACTGTGATCAAAAAACCTGGTATTTGAACAAGCACTTTTGGCTTTGTAACTAAGTAATTTGTGGTGCCATTTTTTAAGTGGGGAAAACAAGATTATTTATAGGAAAAATGGCAGGTTTAGTTTTGCATTTACTTTTGGACAGGAACAGTAGAACTGTGTATAACCAAATACTTAACTGGCTTGGCAACACCTCTAATCTATTTGTCCACTATATCAGTATATTCCTGCTAAATATCATTCCTGTCACTGGGACAGTGTGGTGTAGAGAAAGTAATTTAAAATATGGGTCTTGACTCCAMAAGAGACCCAGAAGCTATTGCCATGTGTATCTGTATAGCAGAAGGTAGAAGTCAGAAACATTGATTAGATTGATTTTGTAGTTTAAGAGAAGATATGGTAAAGAATTGGAGATCAGCAGTCAAGGAGTGAGCTTGGAAGAGATGTACTTTAAACTAGTTAAGGAATAGAGACCTTCGCAACAGACAAAAAGATTGCCACAAAAACATGAAAAACGTTTCCCAAAGAAGCATGATGTGAAAGGATAACCACCAATTTCAGGAGAAGWATAAGAACAGAAATCAAGTTGTAACATCAGAAGGGACAGTAAATGAAACAGAAGAAGCAAGGGAATTTTTTTGTCATTTTTTTTTCTGGAAACTTGTTAATAATAAGAGAGGGAAGGTGTTATGTAGAGAATGGGTAAATAATTTCGCAGATATGTGATAATGATTGACTATATTTCTAAACATTTTCTCCAAAGACTTGTCTGAAAGGAATACAATTTACTGAAGGATTATCTTACTAAATATCTGATATTCTTTCTGTGATATAAGGTATCTGTACATTTATTGCAATCAAATTTGGATAAATATTTACTGGTGAACAGACCACTAAAATTACCTTGAAATTAAAGGGGAAAAAAAAAAAAACAGCCATCAAAGCAGGTTTTCTCTTCTGGTTAAATTTACTGTGTTTGAAAGATTTTATGTCAGATCCTTAATGAGTTTTTATTCTTTTCTTACACCGTGGTGGTGTCATAGTAACCATATAAATGTGTTTTGTGTGTGTGTGTGTGTGTGTGTGTGTGTGTGTATGTGTGTGACATACACTTGCATTATACTAAATGATTTATACAGGCATACTATAAAATGTATCTGGACAATAAAACTTAAAGAGAAATTATATGATGAATCAGAAAAAGAAAAAGAAAAAGAAAAAGAAAAACCAACTTTGTAGACCTTTCTCTATTCAATGCAACTCCACTGAATATCTAAATATCATGCGGGCTCTAACTATCTAATTATTGTGTTCTGATTAAGAGCTGCTGTTTAAGCACAGTGGGTAGTCAGTGCTCAGAAAATTAAAAACAACAGGTTTTCAGCATAAAACACTAAGGGAAGGAACTATCGTTGATTCCTCCAACCAATAAACACTGTTACACTTATCCTCTAATGTCTAAGTTTCCAATAATGTCTTTCTGTACTGGCCAGAGTCCTTCCACATGAGAAGAGTCTGTGATCCAATGTGTATGCACTGACAGGTTGTTTAATGCTCCCTTTAAGAAAATCACACAGAGCTCAGTATGTAAGAAGAAAATGAAACAGTAAGACACTCTCAATTTTGTGCCTGAAGTATGAAAAACTCTGTGTCCCCTGATGACCTTAAATGATAATAACTTCCAAGGTCCAAGAGTAAATGCCTCCTCTCTGATGGTAGCAAAACATTTTCCTTAATTCCTAGTGCATGGACTCCTGCTTTCAGGYCCAAGTTACTTAAGGACACCAAACCTTAAACTCTAGCAAATGCATATCAAGCCACAATTCTATCATCTCTCTACCAAATACAAAAGGAAATAAAATAACTGTGGAAATAAATATTATCAATAAAAATAAATATATCAGTAAATAAATATATCAGTAAAGTAAATATATCAATAAAAAGAGGATCATTCCACAATAGGAAGTCTAATTAAATAGGCATTTACATAAACATACCCACTKATGAATATAAACATAAGCAAAATAATAGATAAATTGAAATTTCACTGCACCATTTCAAAATGCTTTGCTTCTTATAGAGGTAATATGGTAAGGCATTCATTTACTCCTTCTGACAGACTTATCATTTGGGCCTCTGGTTGTCTATTCTGTCATCAATGACACCTAGCTACAATTCAATAAATTGTAGTCAGATTCAGACCAATCCAATGAGAATTATTTCCCATTCCTTGAAAACAGAAGCATCAATTTTAATTGACTTCTACATGTGAAGTCATGCCTTTCTTAGTAAACCAGGAGCCCATTGCAGACTTACTCCACTCCATAGTGCAAAATTGACTGCCATCCAACAAAGAGCAAACTCTTTCCCCACTGCTCCATGTTTTTCCACCAACTGCTCTTACAGTTTTTGTTCTGATCCATCTCTTTTTCAATTCTGCATTTGTTTCTTTGTAAAACTCTGAGTGCCAAAAACCTGGAAAGGCTTATGTCTTATTGTCTCCACTTAATCTGTTTTTTTTTCTAATATGCTTTTTAAAAATTTTGTATTTGTTTTAATTATTTATATATGACAGTGAAATGCATTTATGCACTTTGATATATAATACATAGATGGGATATAATTTCTCATTTTTCTGTTTGTACATGWTGTAGAATCATACTGGTCATGTAGTCACATAGATACGTATAGTAATAATGTCTGTTTCAGTCTACTATCTTTCCTATGCCCACATCCTCTCCCCTCATCTCCCATCATTTCCCTCTATCTAATCTAAGGTAACACTATTCTTCCCCAGTGTCCCCTGCCTTATTGTGAATTAGCATCTGCATATTAGAGAAAACATTCTGCCTTTGGTTTTGTGGGATTKCTTATTTCAGTCAGCATGATATTCTTCAACTCCAACCATTTACTGGCAAATGTCATAATTTCACTCTTCTTTAAAGCTGAGTAATATTCCACTGAGTATATATACCACATTTTCTTTATCCATTCACCCATTGAGGGACACCTAGGTTGGTTCCACAGTCTAGCTATTGTGAATTGAGCTGCTATAAACATCGATGTGTGCTGGTGGGACTGCAAATTGGTGCAACCACTATGGAAAGCAGTATGGAGATTCCTCAGAAAATTGGGAATG